TGCCATTGGCGATTGCCAAATAAATTGATCACCAGTACAAAATGGATCTTAATATATACCAAACAGAAAACAATAAACTTGTGGAAAAGATGGTATACCACAAATATGAGGTGCAAAACTTTGAACACCATATCCGGATTTCGACAATTAATGTCTCTTCAGTGATGTAAGGGATCGAAACGGTATTTGGAAGTCATATAATTTACCTCAATTTAGGATAATATATATATGGTGTACAAATTTTTGCACCTCATGTTTGCGGTATACCATTTTTCCGCAAGTTTATTGTTTTCTGTTTGGTAATAAATTAATAATAAGATCTATTTTGTTACATTTTGTGATCCGTTTATTTGGCAATCGCCAATGGCAGTCAGCAGGGTTTCAGAATATCAGTTGTTCGACCTGCTTGTCAAATGCGTTCTGTTAAAATATACTTTTTCACTCATTTGGTCTTTTGGAAAATGTTGTTTGTGCTGTATTTAGACCTCTCTAACAAGAAATTTGTTTTGCATGCACACGTATAAAAATTGCTGTTTTTAGCCAACGCAATCATAGGTTTGAACGTTGTTTTCAATTTAGACTTGTTTATATATATCATATATATTCTTTTTTATTTCAAAGTATATATGATAAGTATGCTACCAAAATTTCTAGCAAGAAGCCTAATTCGAAGCACATCACGATTTACTCGCAGAAGGGTTTGCGATGACACATTTGTAAATATATGTAGTAAAATAGATGAAAGCATACTATATTTATAAAACAAAAATGGACAAATTGAATGTAATCATTTTCTTTTCTTCAAATATGTGAAATAGCCAATAACAATCCAAAAATAAATGGGAAAACTCGCTATTATTTCAAAAATATCCACAATGACATACAAATAAGAAAAAAGGAAAAACTTAAGAATAGGGACAACAAAGAGAATACCGGGATTCGAGCCTAAACCGACAAGTCTCTACCTTTAACTTGACACTTTAACTCATTGATCTTAACCATGTTAACCTCGCGGCTCCCAACTTATACTATACTATACATAAAGGTACAAGCCCTGTGTGTCTGTTGTACCGATGTGTATCATATGTTCAGTTGTATAGTACATGTAGTAGTCGAGAGGTTTCGTCGATGTGTTGATGTCAGTCACACATAACAGATTTCAAGGAGGGGGTTCTTTTATTTATTTATTTTTCTTCTTTCTTTTATGATCACTCAGACTGAAGGGTTTGGAGATTAATTTTAACACAATCATCAAAATATGACCTAAGTTATAAGTAAAACTAGGAAATTATTGGTATAACATATTAATGATTAAGAGTTGTTATAGAGTGTTGAACATATGTGCAAAGAAAGAAGCTAGGTTTGAGCTTATAATTATTACCAGATTTCCAGAGAGTTAACAATAGCTTTTTTTAAACCAAATAATTAGAAAAAATGTATTTAAAATAATATTAGGATGAGGGCCTCAACCTTCCTTCTCATGTTGGTAGAAGAGGTATATGTGGCCAAATAATGTCATCATTGTGCTCCGAACAATAAAAGTATTTTATTGAAAAAATATAATATATACACACACACTATAATAAATAAGTATCATACTTTACTAAATTAAATTATTTTTATCTAAGTATATATCTCTATATCTATGAAATGCAGTGTTTAGAGGATGAACTAAACCTCCGGAATTGATAATAAAACTCATTTGATAAACTGAATAAACATATGCATATATTGATGGGAATAGTTCCCATGGTATCTTAAATAACAGACAGTTTAATTCATTTAAAACAAAATTTTCATCATTTATTTCTATTCTAATGATTTTTTAGATTATCTTTAGTAGGAAGAGCATTTTGTACAACTCTATAAATAAAATCTTGCTGGTAATTGCTTTTGATATTGCTAATATTACGCCATATATCTGTGAAATCGACATAGCTGTACTTTATTTCGATTTTATGTTTATGATTATCTATTTCAAGAATTTTCTTATAAATATTTTTTGGGCTGTAACTTTGTAAGTCAATTTTATTCATATAATTCATTAAGAGAGCTTTTAATTTTGTGTAAACTCTTGGTAAGATCATCGATTGTTGGTAATTATTATTTCCTAGTTCTGAATTAATTTCCCTTAATGTATAACCTACATAATATATCATAAAACTTGTCCAAACAGATTTATTTCCTTGTAAGAAAATTGTTATTCTTTGAAGAAGCATGGCATCTATTTAAAGACTTATATTTGGTATCTGTTGTCCAGCCCTATTATACATTTGTGATAAAGACTTTCTATTTATATATTCTGAATTACACCTTCCCCCCAAAAAAGTATAAATATATCTATGTATTTGTGTGAGATATTCAGGTAAACGGGACACCACTCTAGCAACAAATCAGATTTTACTAATGATATAAGTATTTATAACAATAAGTTTATGTATAAAATTTAGCTATCTATTTTCCCATTTATTTACTGTATTTTTTATACTATGGACAATTGTTAGTCAACTTTTACTTTTACTTTCCTTACCAAACCAAATTCCTAGCGTTTTAACGCTCTCTTTAAACAAGTGTCTTCTTCTGGAGCATTACAAATATTTAGTATTTCCGTTTTATTTTTATTTATTTTTGCTCCTGATGCTTTAACATTTTTTTCGAATTCGTTCATAAACAAGTACTAATCCTTAATATCTGTTGTAATTATTGTACAGTCATCAGCATGTTGAAAACGTTTTATGGGATCTTTTAAATTTGGAATGTTGATGCCTTTTATGTTTTTATTTGTTCTTATTGAACTTGCCAATGTTTCAATAGCTAGAGCATATAAATTCATGGAGAGCGGACAGCCTTGTCTAACTGATCTTGTAATTAAAATTTCTTCTGTTACATGTAGCAAACCATTTACTTGAATCTGACTTTTAATATCTTTATATAGTATCTTAATCCATCTATTAAATTCAACTGGAAGGTTCATTTTCTTTAAAACTTTAATAAGGAATCCATGTTTAATCAAATGCTTTTTCTTGATCAAAATTTATTAAGAACCCTTTTATATCGTTCAATCTCATATAGTCAAAAATGTCCGAAATCGAAAACAATTTTATCAAAAATATGTTTATCTTCACCCGCTCCTGTTTGTTTTATATCAACCAATTTATTTATTACTTTAGATAACCTTTTAGCTAGAGTTTTAGTGATTAATTTATAATCAAAGCATAATAAGCTTATAGGTCTCCCATTGTTTTATGTCTTTTTTATCCCCTTTATTTTTATAATTTAACGTGATTATACCCATTTTCATTGTTTCGGTTGATTCCCCTTTTAAATAGATATTATTTACAATTTCGACAACTTCATCTCCAATTATGTTCCAAAATTGTAGATAAAATTCTTTGCATAGGCCATCTATACCTAGAGATTTATTGTTTTCGAAATCTTTGATATTATTTAGACATTCTTCTTTGCTTATAAATTGGTTTAAAACTGACCATCTTCCTCATTTAATTTATTTAATTCAATTTTCCCTAGATATTCACCAACCTCTTGATCATTAAAGCCATCAGAAGTATATAGTTCTGAATAGAAATCCAGTATTATTTGTATTATTGAATTTTTGTCGTCAGTGGGTTTATTGTTTTTATCAAATAGTGATTTTATTTCCTTCTTTGTTCCTCTATTTTCTTCTGCTATTTTAAAGATTTCAATATTTTCAATATCTTCTTTATAAAACCACTCACGTGATCTGATTAATGTTCCCATTTTCTCTTTTGTTTCAATTGCTACTATTTCGTCCTTAATTGTATTTATTATAGTGCAATTTTGAGAGGGTTTTGCTTCTTTAACTATTAGTGAGTCATATAACTTATTCAGCTTAGATTTACTAGTTTTTGTTTGGACTCTTGAGAAATTAATTGTTGTTTCTTTATGTTTTTTTAAGATATCCCATCCTTTAAGATGGTCATAATTCAGTTTATCTTCTTTCCATTTTTTGATAATATTTGATATTAATATGGTATAGTTTTCGTTTTCAAGTATCCACGACCCCATTTTTGCCGGTTATATTGTATGTTAATCTGAACAATTTTATGATCTGACTTTTTATACGGAATATGTTTAATATCTTTACAGAGTACGTAGAAATTATGATGATAATAACATTGCAGGTGATCTCATGCCACGTGCACGACTCGAGTGTGGGAGGTCGTGAATTTGTTCTCCTACTTGGTCAAATCAAAGACTTTGAAATTGGTTTTTTGCTGCTTCTCCGCTAAGCAAGTTGCATATAAGAGTAAGAGCAAAGACTGATTGGCCTGGAGTCGGAATAATGTGCCCGGGTAGGGTGACATGTCATCTTGCATCCTTGTGAACTATCACGTTTAAAATCCGGCTCAGCGTGTCGGTATAGTATAAAGCAGGGTTCATAGACATGTTCCTGTCCTTCATATGCATTAATTTGGAGTTGTTGTCCTTGGAAAGATTAACTATGTTTATCAGCGGCAATGGAACTCTACTTTGTTTTATTTAAACTAGGTATTTCACAGCAAGCTTGTTGTCAAGTTTTGTTCCAATTGGCCCTACAGTTTCAGAGGATATCATTTTTGTAAAGTTAACGGGCGACGGACGCAAGTGATGACAATAGCTCACAAAGTTCTTTGGATCACGTGATATACAAACTGCAATTAAAAATGATAAATACTCTTAACATATATTCAACTGAATTTAATCGGCACGCATTTTGAAGTTGATAATTACTTAAGAGAAAAAGACGATATTTCAATGATAGTATATGATAAATGAAAACAAATTGAAATGCCATAATTATGATAAAACAATGACGCTTAGTATCGTTAACAGAAAAAAATATGCGAATGTAATCACTTAGTCGACCATATGGAATATAATCTAATAATCATATAATTCACAACATCCGACTTAGGAGTATTATAAATTGTTTATAAGAAAAAAAAATATTAGTAAATGACCGCTTTATGATATTTCAGGAACAATGAGTACACTCTTCCTGATTTGCCTGTTCGGTCTGTTTGGTGCAGTGATTGGTTTTCCTTGTCTTACCGACGATTCTAAGAAAAAATTTGATAAAACAAGGAATGCATTAAAGAATCTAGAAAGTTATCTGTCGAAAACTGTCAGCACACTTCAAGGACAAATCAACACAATAAACGGCAAAGTTAAAGCACTTGATAAAGGTCTTATTACGATGGAAGGTGATTTCAAAAGTGAGTTTTACGTCTAAAAGTGTCGACTTTGCTCTCGTGTATTCCTTAAATTTTTAAAGAAGAAAAATTCGTGAGAAATTAATAAATTGACAAAATCAATTTATATCAGTTTTACATAATATATCAAAAGTTATCCAAGCATAATGGACGTGGGCATCCATGGGTAAACAATGCTGGCAGTAAAAATAACTAAAAGATCATTTACTGGTTTGGAAAGGAAAATGATTTAATGATTTCAAGGTTGCTAAATATTCATTAATTCAGATATATGAATCAGGAATATTTTTGTTATTTTATTATTTATGTATATAGTAGTGGAATTCTTTTTCTTACTTGTAATGTTTGCGACTAAATTTTGTACAGTAATATACGGTTATTAGATTGTGATGTCGACGATTATTTCTTGATTTTTTTTTTTACGAAACGTGCGTCTGGCGTACACAATTATACGCCTGGTATCTTTGATGACGTTTTTTTTGTAAATCACTGTGTCGATGCCACTGCTGGTGGAGGTTTCCTCTCCGACGGTTTCACCAACCCAATAGTCAGCACTTCTGTATTGACATGAATTATCATTGATATTGTCATATTTATAAATTAACTGTTAAAAAAAATTTGAATTGCTCGAAATACTAAGGATTTTCTATCCCAGGAATATATTACCTAGTAAGTTGAATAAGGCAAAAAAAAATCGGAATTTTCGGTTCTTAATGCTCTTCAACTTCGTATATTATTTGACCTTTTAATTTGTTTGATTCGTGCGTCACTGTAGAGTCTTTTGTAGACGAAACGCACGTAAGGCGTACAAAATCATAAGCATGGTATCTTCGATGAGGTTTTTTTTTAGAGTAAATAATATCTCAGTTTTATTGTTCAATATTTTATCTCAATAATTCATGCTGCACTCCCTATATCCCCCCCCCCCCCCATTCGGTAGGTCACCTTCGGGGAAAAGGAGGACGGGATTGTAGTTACGACGATTAAAACATACCCGTCGTCATCTGTTAAACAGATATTCCATAACGGTCAACCAATTCGTGATGGCGTCCGTAAAATTTTCGAAGGGAAGATTTCAACTTCACTACTGGGAACTCTTGGTTTAATAGTTTCCTTGTGAGCAGCAACACTCTATCAAAAAATCATGATAGGCAACGCAAGCCCTGGAATTTCGTTTCAACTGGGAGATATATACTCTATTTGTTGGCGCTGCTAGAATGTTGCTGAATAATATGGAAAGTTCACAACTTGGAAGCTGAAATCATCTCTTTTGTCGTAAAGTTATGTTCTCAACCGACCCATATTTTCGAGATGTAAGTCAAAATATGAGGCTGACTTAACTGTACCTGTTTTATCCTTTATTTCAAGTTTGATGGGATAGATACATAATCGCCAAATTTTAGTGAGAAGACATCATCTATATAGCGGAAAAGGAAGTTAAATACAAGATACTTGTATCGGCGTCGGTCTTTCTTTTTTTTATGAAACAATGCAGGACCAACTCTTTCAATCTGTGTTTTAGTTTGGAATGGGGAATACTTTTGATTGATTGTTGGTTGCTTAACGTTCAGTGGCAAATATTTCATGCATGTTCAGGACGAGAACACATTAAGGTAAGACGTCCGGAAAAAAGGTCGGGGAAATTTAGACTGCCACTGGAAAATTTGGGTATCTTGGGAAGGGACAGTTGTTTTGCCTTGCAGCAGGCCACCTACAGACCCCTCAAAGAGTTATAACAAGGGTTCTTAACGTACAGAGATTGTGTCACTCTCTCTAAACAAGGCATCGGATTTAACGTCCAAATTCTGACCGGACATCGCTTCGTACTTTTACACCCCATACAGCCAAACGGACGCCCCACTTTTGCATGGGTTTTACTGCCGGTAGGAAAAAGACTTGTAGTCATCAACAAAAAAAAGTCAAATGTTTTAATACTATTGCAAGATGAAAGAGTCTTAGATTGTATGTACTCTTAACAGATCTTTCGGATGTTTTAAGTATCCACATCTGATTCACGACGCTATTTTATGCTACTTCTTGACCTGTGTAAAAACAAATATTGATTTGCATCATTTGTTTTGTTGATCCAGTACAGTTGTTAGGTTAAAGTAACTTAAGTTGATGAGTTTAATTTTTGTCGATTTGATCCTAATCGATGACATTCTACATCACTTCTGAATAGAACCGAATGCATCCGGAAAATTTTAGGTAGTCCTGTTAAATATGCTCACTCGGCACAAAATAAGAGAAGACCCAAAAGTAATTGAAAAATGTGCATTATTGCATCCGACCATTTTTCAAAACAGAAAAAGGGGACAATACTCTTTTGGAGGAAGCAAATGTACAGTAAGTTCAATCACACAATCACCTCATATGTATGGATGACGAATCGGGGAATGATATGTAGTCTCAGCAAATTTTACTGGTCCTATGTATTGTGACTTTATTTCAAGACCTTAGGATTGCACAACATGCACAAGCATTTTTTGTTGTCATGATAATGATGAAGGTAGAAACTAGCTACATTGTGACTATCAGACCATTTTAGAAGATTGCTACGATTAGGATGATAATTGAACTATTAATCTCAATTGTCAATAGTTCATATTTTTCACTGACATTGGTTTCTGAATTGACGCGTTTTGGAGAGGCAGCAAAGAAAAAGAAAAGCGCAAGATGTATCCGACTATAACTTTGTGAACTGTCAACCCAACTGTACAAAATGTAGGCTGTGTATTAAATATGGTACGAAAATTTTATACTTTAGTATGGACACTGATACAATGTTCGATCATTGTTTCGTTTCCTTTTTCAATGGACGTGCAAATGGGTGTTGAAGTGTCAATTTGAATGTTACACAAACATTTATATTTGTAAGATATCTTATCTCATCTCTGTAAATCGTGTATTGTATGTAAATCAAATACTTGAATTTGATTTTCAAATCTGTTCAAGACAATGATTTGCTATATATGTCATCTCCGTGTCGTTTAAAAAAAGGGGGACACAATTGTCAATTTGTCAGTATTGTCTCTTGTGCTGATTGTCTTTGTACCTATTGTCTCCACTAACTAGCGACATGTTTTCGCAGTATTAGATCTTTAGATGCCAGAATAGTCGTCTAATCTGTAATTGTACCGATTATGTCCTATTCCCGATTGTAATATTTCGACTGAAAGGGATTCGCATGGCTTTAAAGTTACATTCTTCTTACCTTTGACCACAACCTTCCAAATATTGCACCACTTTAGCACAATACGACATACCTTACTCGAAAGTCATTATATACATCGTCAAAATAAGACAAAAGTCAGTAATGAGGTAAGTCGGTTCATTATTTTTTTACTTAACCTTCTTACCAACCGTACAATTACATCTCACAACAATCTTTTAGCTCGGGGTATTTTTTTAAAATATTAATTGATGCTTTCATCTATTGTTTTGCACTTATTCTAAATGTAAACAGTTTTTATGGCCCCATTTCGCCCGTAAAGTAATTTATAAATAGCAGGAAGTCTTTTGTTGGTGATTAACAGTAACACAATTTTCGAAACCTATTTTTTTGCTAGTTTAGATAACTTGCATTTCATATTATTTATATAACATTACCATACATGAACGTTATAATATTTTAAAAAGGCCAATTTTTCTTGCAAATGGATGCGATGCTGTTACTTGCGTCGAAGGTGTCGACAGTTGTTAAATTTGTGGGTCTGTTATAGCTCTGTGTAAGCAGTTTACAATATCATGTCCTAAAATATGTATTCTAAGGGTTACACTTAATAGGAAATTTTACTTTTTGTATTTTACATTTCAGAACGACAATGGAGCAAGTACAACGGGCATTGTTATTTCTTGGTACAGATTTAGTTAACTGGGTTACAGCTGAGGTACGGAAATGCTATAAATATGTTGCATGCGTACTTTAATCCAAAAACAATTTACACGATTGCTCCACAACTTTTCGAGAGGTACTGTTGTTTTTGCTCAAGTTTAAATATCATTGTGCTCTTTTAATTTTAAAGCCTATGGTTTATTAGTTGTAGATATTTTACCTCTGAGTCAGTAGTTTCTGAGGTGTTCAGTCATTTCAAGTATGTCCAGGTAAAAACGTTCAACAAGTTAAAGATCAATATTTATCTATAACATGATAAAGTCAAGCATATTGTGAAGGTTATTGTTATGCAATCAGTATTTTAAATATGACATCACTAGGTTGTAAAATTTCCCTTTTCCCTTTTGCATCCTAGCTGTGTACAAAAAATAAGACCATACTTAGGGCAATCAAAGCAAAAAGTTAATGAAAACAAATAGCCAGATATACTAAGACAAAACAATAGTTCACAAAAAGAACACATACAAATGAAGATTGCGAAATACGAATCCCACCAGAAATAAAATGTGCGTGGGCGCATATGCTCCAGAAGGGCAACTTTGACTTTAAGACTGTAAATAATCTTTCAATAAATTTTCTTAGTAGCTATTTGAAAATATGTAAATTAGATTTCCAGCTTGCAGGCAAATTACAGTATATCTATTAAAAATGTATTCATACTTGACATTATTCCACTGTGATATAGTTTTACAAAAAAAAAAATCTGCCGTGTTTTGTAGACTGTTCTTTTCATCGTGTTTCTTCCCAGCCATGATGTTGTCACATCGACTGATGTTGTTCCTGTTCTTTTCATCGTGTTCCTTCCCAGCCATGATGTTGTCACATCGACTGATGTTGTTCCTGTTCTTTTCATCGTGTTTCTTCCCAGCCATGATGTTGTCACATCGACTGATGTTGTTCCTGTTCTTTTCATCGTGTTTCTTCCCACCCATGATGTTGTCACATCGACTGATGTTGTTCCTGACTTGGGTTCAATATGTGTTGGGGTTAAGCTAATGTTTATATTTTTTACACTTCAATCCTCTCCCTTTTGCTTGTTTTGTTATGTTTGTATGTGTTTTACGCCACTGCTACTTGCCTTAGCTATGTCATGGCGGACAGTTTTTTTTGTTGGTAATGGAAGCCGGAGTACTCGGAGAAAATCACCGACATTTGGCAAGAAAACTGGTAAAAATCTTTGTCATATTAAGATCAGAGTCGAAAGCACCTCGCCTCAAACGGATTTTGAACTAGAAACAAACTTGATAGGCTTGAAATAAACTGATGATCTATGTATACCACTTTTCTCACTTTTTAATCTTTACTACGTCTATAAAATATCCGTAGTGTCAAATCTATATGATTATTACTGATTTGTTTTTGCACAACGCAACTCTGAAATTTGGTTCTTTACAAGCGAATGCCGCGATAGTGGTAAAACGAGCCAGGTAAAGTAATGTTGTAAAATGCCCAGCCAAACAATTCAGCAAGTTCAAACTAGCCATTAAATTATTTTTATTTACACACTAAAGTTATATATTGATACAGAGGCGATGCAGAGAAATTGGAGGTTTCTTAGTGAAAATTGAGGATGCATCGGAAAATAAATGGATTCTAGATCATACTATAATTAAAAGTAAGTTTATTGAGACTACAACATTTATCTTTAACAAACATAACCTGTATCATGGCATTGCACAAGGTCATGTTTTTCTCTGACTGTTTATGAAGTATTTACACTAAATCCATTGTATGTTGTATGTGTAATGATTGATAATTTAGTCTTAGATGCATGATTTTTGTCGAGCCTGCGACTTTTGTCGCAAAGGCGAGACATAGCGATCCTACATTCCGTCGTCGGCGGCGTCCATAAATATTCACTATGTGGTTAAAGTTTTTGAAACTTTAATAATTTTCTTGAACTATTCTGGATTTCTACCAAACTTGGACAGAAGCTTGTTTATGATCGTAAAATAGTATCCAGAAGTAAATTTTGTAAAAAAAAGTCCTGTTTATCCGTATTGTACTTATAAATGGACTTAGTTTTTCTGCCAGTTAACATTACATTCACTCTGTGGTTAAAGTTTTTGATATTTTAATAACTTTCTTAAAATATCCTTAATTTCTACCAAACTTGGACAGAAGCTCGTTTATGATCAAAAGCTAGTATTTAGATGGAAATTTTGTAATAATTTATTTCCTGTTTTTCCGTATATTACTTATAAATGCACTTAGCTTTTCTTCCAGTTAACATTACATACAGTCTGCAGTTAAAGTTTTTAAAACATTTATTAGATTCATAAACCATCCTTGATTTTTACCAAAGTTGGACAGAAGCTTCTTACAACCAAAAGATAGAATCTAGCGGAAAATGTAAAATTTATTTTCTTTATCATTTGTTTATTCAATAAATTTATGTTTCAACTCTTTTATAAATCTATAGAAATGATTGCATACTGTATTCATTTTTTACAAGCATAACCTTTTTCATACATTTCAAACGTTTTATTTCATTAACTGTAAATCCATTATGTGCATTCCCCTATCACACTGAAGACATAGACAACAGCAAAAGTAGGCGAGATACTGGGTTTCGCGGAACCCTTACGAAATTTTGTATTAGTTGTTATTGGCTTTGAACTAGCTGTCAGTAACTGAACTTGCTCAGATCTGTACTTAGTGTCTTTTTGTTATTGGGATGTACAAGTACCCGGCCACGTCCACTCTGTGTTTTCGTTAGATGTATTTCTATTTGTATCCATCTGATGAGTTAAGCCTTTTTCAACTGATGTTTATAGTTCGTTCTTATGTTGTACCGTATCACCACTGTCCCAGGTTAGGGGAGGGTTGGGATCCCGATAACATTCTTAACCCCGCCAAATTCTGTATGTATGTGCCTGTCCCAAGTCAGGAGCCTGTAATTCAGTGGTTGTCGTTTGTTGATGTGTTACATATTTGTTTTTCGTTCATTTGTTGTACATAAATTAGGCCGTTAGTTTTCTCGTTTGAATTGTTTTACATTTGTCATTTCGGGGCCTTTTATAGCTGACTATTCGGTATGGGCTTTGCTTATTGTTGAAGGCCGTACAGGGACCTATAGTTGTTAATTTCTGTGTCATTTGGTCTCTTGTGAACAGTTGTTTCATTTGCAATCATACCACATCTTCTTTTTTATATATAACCATAGAAAAGGAAACTGTCAAAAATTAAACATTAGTTGTTCAACATATTGATAGACAGAGATGATTCATGTCCGGTTTATAATTTATCAAGTGAATTAAATATTCACTAGACATAATCTTCAGAAACAAATTACCACTTTAGATTTTGTTGATTGTTGCTTGCTTAACGTGTGGTAAATATTTTATCAAATTTCAGCAGAAATGAAAGTTTGATTTAAGTGTGATACTGAAAACATGGAATTAACTCTTGCATGTATAAAATGTAAATGAATAATTTCAATGTTATTCACTGCGTCATCGGGCAATTTACATGTAATTAAATAAATGAGTAAAAATTACAAATATATTTAGGTTTGAAGAATCTTTGAAGTAATTATAGGAAATTGACCTTGCATGTTTTGTCTCAGCCTGAATATGTATCTACATCCCTTTTTTATTGACCCAATATATAATGCAAAAATCCTCTTAAAACTTAATTTTTTTACTCTATGTTTGTTCTGCTCATATTTAAACCACCATGGTTATGTTTTTCTTCAAATGATTCAAACAGAAGTGAAACGAAATGACTATACAAAAATGCAATGCCCCATTAAGGTCTCTTATTAAACAATTACAACAAACAAAGTCGGAAAATTATCAGAAATTAAATACACCACTTATAACCGTCGTGCAATTTTATAGAAAACATATTTTCCCCATCAATATCTACAATCTTTTCAAATGAATAAATAAAAATCAACAAGAGATGATAGGTCATTTTTCAACAACCTTCACATCGATTTCGCCAATCAAAATTGAACCAGTCAGATCTCTTGTTTCATTTCATTTATTCGTTTGAGGAGGCTGCAGACATTGATGCGTAAAAGGGAATTCAATGGAAATAGATAGAAAAAAAGGAAAATTAGAAGTAGAATTGATGTGTAGGAAGACTAATTTTATGTAAATTACATGTAAATCAGGCAAAGGCATCAAAGTCAGTATTAGTATGCCGGAAAAACCTCCAGACAGATGAAGAGGCTGTGTCCCAGCAAGTGTCCGACTTCGACCATTAAGAATACATATGACGACCTCTTCTTATTTTCATATGAGTCGGAGTTCCTTCAGACACTTCTCAAAAACAAGAAGTTCAAAGAAGCCAGATCATTTAATTTCACATTCAGATAAATTGATGATGTTCTTTCCATTAGCAATCCAAACTTTTCTGATTGGGTTCCATTAATATCTCCTCCAGAACTAGAAATGAAAGAAAAAACAGACACAGCTTCCTTCGCCTCATTTTTAGACTTATACCTCGAATTTGACACAAACGGTCATCTCAGTACCAGAATCTATGACAAACGAGACGATTTAAATTTTGATATTATTAACTACCCCCACCTTAGTAGCAATATACCAACTTCACCTGCATATGGGATATACATTTCCCAACTCATTCGGTATCCAAGAGCTTGCAGCTGCTACTCATACTTTATAAAATGTCACCAGTGTCTGAACAGAAAGTTGATGAACCAGGGTTATGTAAAAGAACGTCTCGTATTAGAAATATTAAAAAAAAACTCTCGTCTCGCACCTGTGATGCTGTGAATTGAAACGATTAAAGATTTTTGAAAATAAAGTTTCATTGACGAATTAATCAAATATATTTGTAAGTGAGAAACACACAGTATGGCAATCCATTCTTAAAAAGGTACATAATTATTGAGGGTTACAACTTTTCTTTGAAATGACGTTAAAGACATTTTTACATGATTTCTTTTTTACATGTATATCCCTGTTTACAAACCTTCCTATGGCATATTGAAGACATTTAATATATACATTGCAACCTAACATCTTTTAAAAGATCAGTTGCAGTCGTTTGCATTCGCATTTATTTAAAATTAAAAACAAGTACCAAGTAATCAAAAATATAAATGTTTCATTTCAAGACGTTATACTTCATTTTATTATAGTAAACCCCTAATGATGAATGATCAAATATTGTTTTAATCAATGCAAGATTAATTGTTGTTTCCAAAGAAATAAGGAAAGTGGAAGATTATTTTATCTTTGTTCGGTGCATTTTAAGATAATTGGATGTGGATGGGTTTAACTGATGTTATGGAAGGTGATTTCAGATGGACGTATGATCAATCAGCACTATCGTTTAAAAACTTTCATGGTGGACATCCAAAAACTGGCGCAGATGGTTATAAGCGTAACTGTGTTTTTTTCCATCCTACGAATGGTATGTGGGCGGATTATTCTTGCCATCACAAAAAGCCATACATTTGTGAAAGTGATTTTTGTAAGTAGCCTTATTGCATGGAGTATTCAGTAGAGATAAGGGGTAAACTGATAAAAATATATATTTTTCAGAAACTAAAAACATGTGGATTTGTATTGCTCATAATAGTGAAGAGACAAGCATCACTATCCAAATATTTTATAAGTTTGATTTTAACAGATTCTATGCTTTCTAAAAAAAATTAAGTCGATCAAGGTTTTGACTTTAACATGTCTTGGCGCTTCATTCAGAAATACATATTTCAGTTCAATTTAGAGAGGATTGATATTTGATCCATTCTTATTGCATGGTCTGTCAAACTATAATATACAAAAGACAATTAAGGTACTAGTAGTATTTTATAAGGGTTGTTTCCCTATAATTTGAAATGTGGGTGCGTCATACATGTACCAACAACCAACATTTTACCAAAAATAAGAGACATAGAAAAATAATATTGCGTAAATAACCATTTGTTGTTTACATATATCTAAGGACATATTACTTAGCTGCATAAGTGCAAAATAAATGCAACTTACCAAAAGGCTAACATTTTACGTCCAAACATCAGCCAAGTTTACGGGTGCTATACTTACAAATTCATTATACAAAATAAAATCAATACTCAAAGGGTTGATTGGTATAGAAATATTGTCATCAATGAACTTTTGTCTTCTGGGAGTAAAAGTCTTGCTCAAGTTGGCTATGTAGGATATTTAAATACAGAGCTTCGTCCGTTCGGATTAGGAACGTGTAATCCCCTGTCCCATGTTTTGTTACAGTTTAGATATTCTTTTCATTTCAGGTTTCTAATAAAAATACGGACACCAAAAGAAAACTGAGTTACATGATCGTGCCTACTTGACAAGTTAAAAGTCATTAGATTACAATAAAATGTTTTCTCCAATGAATTATAACATTTTCGTTTTTAAAATGCCCATGAACAACTCGTTAACTCTGGTATAAAGAGATATCACAGGACAGCAATTCAATATATTTGTAATTCAAGTTCAGTAAAATATGTTATAAACTGTCAATTTAACTTGCCCGGATCTTCTTATACACCAAGTCTACAAAATATGGCTTTAATCTGCTCTCATCATTCGTACCCGACGTCACATAACTATTATATGAACAATGAATACTGTGTTCTCATGAAATAGAAAGTAACAGAAAACAAATACATATAAACGATATACGGAAATGTAGTGCAGGGGCCTGTCTATCGAAGCTGTCCTAGGATCTGTTCTAAGACCTATATATCTTAGTGATAAATTAGGATAATGTTCGAACCGACTAACGACACATCGAAGCTATTTTAGGACTATATTAGCTAGGATGTCCTAACTACTTACCTAAGTGTTGGCATAAAAGAAAATAGGAAACTAAAAATTAAAATTACATAAACTGCATCGAATCTGACCAATAATTATAATTAGAAGGTTAATAATTACAATTAATATTAATGTTATTATAAAGATAATAAATACTATTTATCTAATAATTATACATATAAACTTTATGAAACAAACGAAAAACAAAAAGTATAAAAAATAAAATAAAAAACGGAAAGTCCCTTAACAAACTAACTAAGTTATATATAAAAAGTTTACAATTTTTTTATAAATAGTGACAACTATAATCGGTAAAAATACTGTACAGAGTAAAAAAAAAAGAGCAAAATCTCGTGCACCTTTCAAATAAATACAGAGTCCTTTTACTATTTTATTTCGGACGTGACAATCTATACTTGTATAGTTTTATTGGCGTGTAAAAGCGTCAACTAAAGCAAATTTTGTAGGAAGCACGGAAATTCATTATAAAACTATGATCACGATCAACGCTTTAACAACACTATACAATTTTAAAAAGAAGTATTAATTTCTTATAATTACATTTTTATACTACAACCATGAAGTTATCAGTTATATCAAGCTTTTCGTGTACTTTTCTATTCATTGTTTTGCATTGTCACGGATAGCACGTGCAGTCATATAGCTGTTGTAATTTAATATGGAAATAAGATTTCATATAGGTGTGCCTCACGATTGTTGTCAACCAATCATAATTATGTATTCTAATGAAACATACATGTAATCTAATAATTTTCGTATAATGTCAATGTAATCGAAATAGTCCAGTTCAGTGATTGTCATAGACTATATGCAGTCTATTTCTACGAAATTTCAATTAACTCAAAACTATGTAATGGTTTATACAGATTATATTTAGTTGTCACTATTTACAATTATTTTGCTCATTTCTTATATAAAACGTAGTTATATTTTTTTGTTTCATAAAAGTTTACAAAGGATAGGACACCCTAGCTTAGATAGTCCTAAGATAGCCTCGATTTGCATGTGCAGATATGTCGTAAATCGGTCATAAAAGGTAAAATAACAAAAATACCGAACTCCAAGGGAAATTTAAACTGGAAAGTCCCTTATCAAATGGCAAAATCAATAGGTCAAACTCATCAAACGAAGGGAAACAACTGTTATATTCCTGCCTTGGTACAGGCATTTCATTATGTAGAAAATGGTCGCTTAAACCTGGTTTGATAGCTAGATAAATCTCTCACTTGTATGACAGTCGCATTGAATTCCATTATATTGACAACAATGTGTGAACAAAACAAACGGACATAATAGGTAAAAATGTCAAAATTGGGGTACAGCAGTCAACATCGTGTATAACCTTAATCACTATTAAAACAACCAACTATGTTAAGAAAATCAAAATGGCACTACAGACACTCTTTAGACAAAGCACATAAGCAAAAACGAAAAACAAGAATACAAAAAATGACTAAAGCATAATAACACAATTGCGGGATGTATAAATACCGAGCCACGCCAAAAAGTTATTACCAAAAATGGACAAAACAGTAAAGGTTAAAAATATACAAAGGCAAATAAAATGAACACTATAAAACGTAGTTCAGATGATAAACAACGTCAGTACCTAGAATCTATACTTCAAGACCATTATGTACTATTTGTGAAGTAAATACGGAATATTTATCAACAAGGTCTTTGCATCCGCCGATGAACATTTTTAGGAAAAGGACGAGACGTTCTTTTACATAACCCTGTTTTGTCAACTTTCGGCTCAGACACTGGTGACGTTTTATAAAGTCTGAGTAGCAGCTGCAAGCCCTTGAGTACAAAAAAAGTTGGGAAATGTATATCCTATATGCCGGTGAATTTGGTATATTGCTGCTAAGGTGAGGGAAATTTAAAATTTCAAAATAAAAATCGTCTCGTTTGTCATAGATTCTGGTACTAAGATGACCGCTTATGTCAAATTCGAGGTGTAAGTCTAAAAATGAGGTTGAAGAAGCCGTGTCTGTTGTTTGTAGCATTATCCTAATTTATTCCTATGTCTTGTGATAGATCAAAGAACAGCTCCGATAAATAGGTCCCTGATTTCTTGGGCCTGTCTATCGACACTGTATTATAACTAGGATTATCCCAAGACCGTTTTTGTCCTACATGTGTTTATCAACCATGTCGAAACTTAGGATATATCATAGGAATTGTCCCAAGTTTAGAATACTTAATATGTGTCTTGTGATTGTCATATGATAGTCCTATCTTTAGGATAAATTTTATGTGTTTGAGCTATGATTTTGCCATTTGATAATGGACTTTCCGTTTTGAATTTTCCTTGGAGTTCGGTATTTTTGCTATTTTACTTTTTATGATGCTTAATTTGTAATTCAAACCCCCTTTGTGGCACTATTGGTTGCAACATTGGAAAGTTTACTGAAAAGTAAAGGTTTATGTCTTTCTACTTCATTCAGTGGCACTGTTTTTCCGAATATATAAAGAAAATATTCTTTATTTTGCTCATATTAACTCATATATTTCTTTGGCAGTACTAACATATATACTGTGTGTATATGTAAAGATGAACGAGACTTGCTTTTGAACTCTGTAATGTATGAAACTGTGACACTTTGAATTCAACTTAATCAAAAATCTCTCATTATTTCTACTGATATTATTAATATACTCAGTTGTAAATATTTACACTTAATTTGTTAAATTCCTATTGAAAACGTACTTATATTGTTTGTTCTTTGTTAGTTGTTTCAAATAAAGTTTAAATGTACAATCATTATTATACTATTATAAGTACTGTTTAATTCCATTATAATAGTTCTACGAATAGTTTTTATTAAGTGTTGTAATAATATCCTTTGGTTAATTGAAATGCATTTATATCTTAATATATAGTTAAAATTTATTTTTTACTCCTACACTTAGGATAGCGGCTATGACATTCTTGAGAGAGCTTCAATGTGCTTGCTCAGACATGTCGTAGGGCTGTCCTAATTCTAATCTAAATCATGTCATAAAATATCTCTTTTCAACGATCTGAGCACACCTTTGATAAACAGGTCCCTAATCAATATAATGATAGGTGCTACTAATTTTTTCGGTGCATTACATTTCCGAGTAAAAATGATAAGTGTAAAGACGTCATTAACAGTCAAAGAAAAACATTACCGATAAAAACAATATTCAATGACCTAAATACGGTGTTGAACTAGTAACCTTTTTTAAATAAGTTTATTTAAAGGGTCAATAAGTTTACCCGAATCGTATCTAAATTTACGGGCTCGGTAAACATCATTACCGTAAAATTAAGGATGTGCTACATAAGGATGTGATACATTAGGATTTTTTAATATCAATATTAATATTTTGAGATCTATTTTCCTTTTATTTAACTTTTCTTTAAGAGTCATATCTACTTCATTTAACTATAATACACAAAAATAAAAGTTAACCCTCCCAAATTGTTTTGAAATAACAAATGATGAGATTAGTGTCATTAGATAATACTAATAG